AATCCAGAACGTCTGTTTTTGTATTATACTTACTAAATTACATTTGTGTGTGAATATAAGTCAAAGAAATCAGCAACAAGGCAGTGAAAGTTGAAAACTCATTTTTATATTCCAGTAATCTTGCGAACGCGGTAATGATTATCACGTGTCATCTAATATATATCAGATCGATAAAAATACGTTCTACAAAGCCCCCAGGTTTTGGGGACTGACGGTGACGGACCATAAATTGTCTATAATTGACGTTTGCTTCTTTGATAATCTGCTTTCTTGGACGTTGAGATGTCCCCTGAAAGTTCTGTTGTACAATATTTGCATCTCAGTTGTCTAATTTTATTTATATTGTTCATTCTCGAACTAATTAATCAACAACGATTTTTGAATTTATAACCATATTAATACAAAACAATTATATCTACCTACAAATAAATTAAATTAATATATAAAATAAATGTAATAAAATTATTATCCATTAGACATAGCTAAAATGCTTGTGATCTGTGTAATATATCGTTGTAATTTGAAATAAAAACAATATACTAATTTTGAAAGAATATTCGAAAATTCTAAATAGAAACTTCTATTTTTGTCTGGTTAAAGAAATTTTATACAATTTTTTATTTATTATAAAAAGTAAATATAACTTTCAATCGATGGATAGAATTGATTTGTATATAGTGAGTTAGAAAAACCATTATCTTTTCACAAATCTGAACGATTTCTTGCTATTAAAAATATTGTGGTCCAGTGTAGATATTTTAATACTCATAATCCAATTTCTTGATAAGTAATTTAAAATTTGATATAAATATATGTATTATTTAATATTAAAAAAAATATTTTCCATGTGTTATACTATTATTGTTTATTACCGGCCAGTGTAATACAAGACAATGGTACTAAGGGTGCGATTGGTTACCAATTTTTTTTACTGATTGAATAATTTTTTTACACATTTTTAATTCAAAATCCAAAAATGAATCTTAACCTTTTTTATCAGTATAATTAAACAATATCAATCAATTATCTTCACAAATCACATCAACAAAATTCACTATTTATTCATTGACATATTTTCAACTACCATCATTTTCACTTACATCTCTCTTACTCTTACATCACATCAATTTTAATTATATATTTTAATTAATATTTAAATAAAGAAATCAAAATTCAACTCAATCTTCCATTAAAGCCACTTTATGAATCAATCAAAGCCAAAATTTTCTATTTTCATTCTTACCCTAAATTTTTTATTAGCCTCGAGTAAAGTGTTGTAGATTTCAATAAAGCGAAAAAGAAAAGATGGATTTCCGCAAGTCCACAATGATAATATCCGTACGGGCCAACTTACATTTAAAGTAAAGATAAAATATTAATGTTATGTTGACTGAAATTCGCTCAAATTATTGAATTCTAATTGAGTAGTAGAGTGAGACAATTTGACCATCTAATTTCTTTATTATATGATGTAAAATAAGTGGAGCAAGGTATAACGTTAAACCTTTTATTGAATTAATGTATGGTTTATTGACCCAAATAATAAAATAACACTGTTTAGCTGGAGTTTTAAATTTTCCTTGCCAAAACAACACTAAGTGCACATTACGCAGTTTTATGCCCATGCAACTACAAAATGACAATGCTACATTAGACCTCTTTAATTAACAATTGAGGCAGATACATAGATTTTTCTTCATACGAGTCAAATCAGGCGAATGTGGGACCAGTGCTCGAGAGCGAGTTGACTCAGCGATTGCAGAGCATTGGCAAAAAATAAAGCGGGCGTGGGGTTAGGGCATCCACATCCCTTTAACACAAATATCATTCATTTAATAAAAAAGTAACACTCTCTCTCATCCACATCATTTCCACTTCATCTTTCCACTAAATCTCTCTCCATTTAAACACACACTTACATTCTTACACATTCATTTAAATACATATATGGGACCCATTATCCACTCATTCAATATAAATTTTTATATTATATTCTCAATAAAAATAAAATTTAATATTTTATAATTATAATAATAAATTTTAAATGCATGAAAATGAAATAACATTACAAGACCAAAATGACTAAAATTAAGATTACACAAAAAAAAATAATACAATTACAAAAAATATTTATTTTAGTTGTTGGAAAAATGAGGTGTATTTATAGACAAAGAATGAGGGATAGAAAATATAAATTATTGATGTAATAATATTTTTATATTATTCTATTATTGTGGACCATATAATTAATTGGACCTAATTGAATTAATAGTCAAACTTAATTAAGGGGAATATGTATTTAATGGATTATTAATGTTCTAATATTAAAGAGTCCAATTTGTGATGTTTGACTTGGACAGTAAGTTAGGTTAGAACATGGGGAATGTTAGTAGGAATAAGATTGTAGGTCTCCTCCTATATATATATACTACATGCCCCTCTCTCCCATCTCATACGCAAATAAAGTTCTCAACATCAAGGGCTTTATGAAAAGACGAGAGACGCGGGAGAGAGAAACAATTCATAGGCAAAGGCGAATCCATCATTGGAGATTATGAGAAAGATAGATCCATGACATTACGGGACGAAGAGATCGCAGATCAACATCATAGATCAAGAAAACAGTGAAGGACTATAAGCTGGATTCTTGTAAGTTCTATGTGCAATTTAATTTATGCAACGATCCATATTCTATGAACTGATAGAATTACATGCTTAGGGTTTATTCAATTCCGCCTGATAGTTATGAGTATGCCCATTAAATTTCTTTCATGTGGTATCAGAGCATGTGTTTATGCATATTATTATTTTGCCATATAAAAGATTATAATTGAGTGTGATAATTAATAACGATTATATCATGTTGCCGTAGTGTTTATTGGTCAATTGGTTTCATCTTGAATTATTTACTGGACTGGGACAATTGGAATTGAGGCCTGAATGTTGGCGCAATAGATGGGTAAATAAACTTGGTTGTGATTTGTGATTTATTTGCTGTGCCTGCCGCATAATGGATATTTACCTTGGATGTGATTTATTTGCCTTTTGTTTCATGAAAGAAAAGCATGAAGGTTTCAAATGCTTTATTGGTGTGTTCTTAACAATTTGAATGAATTAGTTGCTGAACAATTAATGATGGTCGAGCAATGTGATTGGGAATTATTTGCCATTGAATTATTTGGTTGAATATTATTTTGTATAAATTATTAAGTATGGTATCGATACTTGCGTAGAATGAGATTAATCAAAGTTTTCATAATCTCATGACACTCTGACATGTACAGTTTAAGTTGTTTGTTAAAGGTTTTAGTTCCCTTTCAATTGTAGAAACTATTAATAATATATGGAGATTTATTATAGTTTTGATATATAATCTCATAAAATATACATATCAAATAAAATAATTTTTTTTAATTATATTATCTATGTAAAGAAACTAGTTAGTCACCAAAGTGACCTAGTTTAATTTATGGAATAGATAATTAAATTAGATAAAAGTATCAATTATTCAAATATAAGACGATGTCTTATTAATGTACCACAATATTATAATATTTGAATAATTGATGTTATAGATTATAAACTAGGAGGACACCCAAAGGTGGGCCATGGTTTGTAATATATGACAATAAAAGAGAAATTATATTAAAGTTAGGTTAATTAGTGTGTTTGTCCAAAGATAACCACTAATTAATCACAATACCTATAATTTCTATTAAAGATCTTTCCTCCTAGGCATCAATCAAAGATATTATATATTTAAGTATTTGCCCAAAGGTATATTTAAATATATAATTCAAAAGATTTATGAATCCATTAATTTTATCTCAAAGCTTAATTAAATAGCATGTATTAAAGTTTGCAGCGTTCAAAATTTGGTTATCCGTACAGTATTCAATTGGTTGAACTTCAATGAATGGTCTAAGCATATCCAATTTCAGTTAGGTTCAGTGAATTTGGATATGACTCTAATTATTGATGAAGTTCCCACAACCATTACTGATGAGAGCTCCAAAGTAGAGGTAACTCTACGTAGGTTATGTGAGCGATCAAATAGGTTGTGTTTGAATTTATGAAATTAATCATGGTGGATAACATTAAGGTTAATAATACAAAATAATTCCTAAATAAAAAAAATCAAGGAATTATCTTCATTTAAAATTGCGGAAAAGGTTGTTGTGGAAAGTTTCATTAACGAGCTCACCACTATAAAAGTTCGACTGATACTGTTCCATCCATGATCTCGTGACCCACAGGTTCAATATATAAGCTAAACTTACAAACATGAGAATGAATGTGATAGACTCATTTATGGTTCTATTCATCATGAACTCCCTACCTGTCGAGTTTGGCCAATCCTAGGTGAACTGTAACACCATTAAAGATAAATGGGATTGTAAAAAAAATAAGGCTAAGCTGGTGCAGGAAGAGGCCGGAATAAATGAGATGAAAGAAGAGTCAATTCTCATGTTGGAGCCAATAATAGTATGATAAAATGGGAAATGAAGGCAAATAAAAGAAGATTGGCTTACATAAAGTTTTTGCAGGTCCAATCATTAAAGAAACGAGGTGTTATTTCTGGAAAAAGTTAGGCCATCTCATGAAAGATTGCCCGAAATAAAATCTTATTTCGGAAAGAAAACATACATTAAATTTTTGTATGTTGTGAATCAAATTAAAGATTCTCAATAATACTTAGTGGCTTGGTTCTGTGCAACTACTTATGCATCTCATATTTATTTTGAGGTTAAACGTAGTGCACATAATTAAAATTCTACTCTCTTATAGCATTAAAGATTATGGTCACATATCCAAAGAAAAGTTTTGAGAATGGTGAATAATGAAACCATTTCTCATTTGGATTTTAGTGATCAAGATGT